TCCCAGGAACAATAAAAGACCCAAGACAGGTCTTGCAAAGGTTTTATTTCTCAAAGAGCGTGCAAAGGCTAGCAGCAGACAAAACAAACATTTTTCAGCCTCTTCCTGTTCCGTCTCCTCTGCTCTTTCTATCTTTTTCAACCATAATGCAAATTTCACTTCCTGTTACTGGTAATTATAATCCAAACTCAAAGAGGGGTTAGGTTTCTCTTTTCCTCCATCCCTTAGAAAGAATCTGAGTCTATAAGTGTATGTGCACGTTGTATTCGATTATTGTGCTGTTGGTTTACGAACACTGTGAACTAATCAGTTTCTATCTTGCAGCATTTGAATTTTAGAATAAAGCTCTTTTCAAATCAAACCAGCAGGCAGTTTAAATGTGACTCATTTGTTTAATACTAAGATAATTAGAAAGTTAAAGTTTCATGCATTAAGTAATATTAGAAATGCTCAGCTATTTCTTAAAAGTAAAAATTCTAAGAGATTAGAGAGCAGGTTCCCACAATGTTAAAGTGCTGGTTTATGCTCCATGCAGCATTCCCAAAAGAAAAAAGAGGTTCTTCAAGAGCTTATTTTTAGTTTTCATGAATCATCACTTTGTTTTTTAATTTTTCATGAATCATCACTTTGGTGAAAAATAATGCTCCTTATTCTTCTCACACTTTAATCCAAACAATACAATTTCATTTGCAGAAAAAAAAACCCATTTTTAAATCAGTGTCCATGCAGCTTAGACCGCAGTGCAAAATTGCGCTTAGTCCAGGGTATGATGGTTCATCACTGCACAGCAGTTTCCTTAGGTGTATATACTGATAGGGGATAATGGGAGTTGTAGTGAATTGTGCTTCGAGAATGTAAGGTTAGGAGAAGCAGTTTTATTCTGCATAGAAAATATATTGGGATCAATTTAGACCACCCCAATCATTCAGATTCTGGGACGTATATAAATAAGAACAAACAATCCAGGATTATTGTGAGATTTTCTTCAGGGGGTGTCAAAAAAGTCAAGATGGCAACTATGTAATCAATGCCTTACCCATTTTAATATGTGTCATGTGTGAGATATATAAAGAAGGAGATGGAGCTTAGTGATTTGGTTGCAACTGCCATCTTGACTTTTTTTGACATCCCAATCATTGTTTCAGGAAAAGTTCAGTTCTGAGTTTTCAAAAACACTCACTGTAGTTTGTAGTTTTTTAAAAAATAGATGTGTTTTTTTAAAAAAAAAACTATACAACCAAACTGTAGACAAGAAGGCAAAGCATTTATGTTTAAAAGTCCCAAACATAAATTCATCCTACGTGACAACAAATTACATTGGAGTATATGATATTTGTTTGTTGATAAATATATAATAAAGAATTGCCACCATAGCCTGAGAGTTTGCAACATATTTATGCAAGAATATCCAGTATTCAGCCAATATTTTAAGTAGCAATGTAAACATAATTTGTATATGCTTTTTCAAATGGACTGTTATTAAACCCTTTCAAGCAGTGAGTTTGTGGCATATCATCCAATGAATTTAAAGCAAGCTTATTAGCATTTCCAAATATATGAAATATTGTATTTGTTGACTCAGCAGAAAATCATTAATTAAAATGCAAGAAAACAAAAAACAAGCAGCAGCAGTGGTAGAAAGCTCCCCTTTTTCATCCTCCTTGTTGTTTAGCATGGAAGAAATTATATTCTTAATCTTAATATCTTTCTGGCTTTAGTTGCTAATAGCTCTGGTATGAGTATAAAACAAAACTACTCATTAGGGATGCATGGATACTGACTTCTCTTAATAGATCCTCTTTTTTTTAATACTGTTCAGTGCATGTATAACAAAGTTCCAAAATCTGGACAACTATTTTTTTCCAGTTAGAGCTTTTCATTGTTAGGTAAAACAAAATATTTTTATTTAACCGAGTAGCATTTTGATAATTACTAGCTATGAGTTAGATATTTCCAGTCTCTATTCAGAAATGTAAGGGGAGATTGTCAAGGAACAGACTTGCCATCAGTAATCGGTTTAAATGATTCCTGCCCAAAGACTTAATATATGATTGTTATATGATTAAATATGCCTATTTCAATCACCATTACAAATCACATTTAATTTTAGTTGTATGTTTAACTTGAAGAATGCCATGTTACACAGCATGCAATTCGTTAATCTGCCTATAAATTGACATTTTGGAATTAAACACTGTTCATTTTTTATTTTTGTAAAAAATATATATGCAGATTGAAACCTACTTCACTATGTCACTTAGCTGTATATAAAGGAGTTTCACCCAGGGAAAACAATATAATTTTTTATAGATGCAAGATCTCTTCATACAAACTACGAAACCAAAGATTTGTGATTCGACTTTTTAAAAAAATTGTTCAACCAGTGTTTTTTAAATTCAAATTTTAAGAGGTCAGAGAGAATCTTCCCATAATTTTAAACATGCTATGGTCCATAACACCCACAAAATAAAATACAATTAAAAAAAACAGAGTAGTCTTTTCACATTTTAAATTTACAAAACAAAAAGTTTTCCCCTTTTTCTCAAGTCATAGTTAAGGAAGGCTTTTTCCAATATTTATTTTATTTATTTTATTTTATTTTAAATTTATATACCGCCCTTCTCCCTGAGGACTCAGGGCGGTGTACAGCCAGAATTAAAAAACATAAAATATAAATATTAAAAAACAATTAAAATATATATAAATTTGGCCCAAAATTAAAAATACAAACCAATTAAAACATTTAAAATTTCTTCTTAAGCCAGCCCAGCTTGCTGGAAAAAGTGGGTTTTAAGGGCACGGCGGAAGGCACTAAGGTCTTGGATTCTCCTTATCTCTGAGGGCAACTGATTCCAGAGGGTAGGTGCCCCCACAGAGAAGGCCCTCCCCCTGGGGGTCACCAGCCTACATTGATTGGCTGATGGCACCCTGAGGAGGCCCTCTCTGTGGGAGTGCACAGGACGATGGGAGGTCGTCGGTAGCAGCAGGCGGTCTCGAAGATAGCTAGGCCCGATGCCATGGAGCACTTTAAAGGTGATAACCAGCACCTTGAAGCGCACCCGGAAGACCACTGGGAGCCAGTGCAGCTCGCGCAGGAGCGGTGTTACATGGGAGCGCCATGCTGCTCCCGTCACTACCCGCGCTGCTGCATTCTGGACCAGTTGGAGCCTCCGGGTGCTCTTCAAGGGGAGCCCCATGTAGAGAGCGTTGCAGTAGTCAAGGCGAGAGGTGACGAGGGCATGAGTGACTGTGCACAGGGAATCCCGATCAAGAAAGGGCCGCAACTGGCGAATCAGGCGAACCTGACAAAAGGTCCCCCTGGTTACAGCTGTCAGATGTTCCTCCAAGGACAGCTGCATATCCAGGAGGACTCCCAGATTGCGAGCCCTTTCTGTGGGGGCCAAAGACTTGCCCCCAATAGTCACTGACTATATTGGGATGCCGGGAGCCACAGCCACTCACTCACCTGTTTCTTTTTGAGTTTTTCAGTATTGTTAAAGTTGCAGTCAAGGTAGCTGCATAAAATTTCATTTTATAGAAATTAATCTTCTATATGAAAATTGTTTGGAATATAGTCCTCACTTTGAAGCCATTGTCTCTTTGAATGGCTGCCAGTTTCTGGGTGAAGATAACAATTCTCAATGGAAGCTAAACTCTTGAAATTGTCCATCAACAGAAAAATTAGCAGGCATAGCTGATATTACTCTTTCAGGTAAAATTGCCACAGATTATCAACATATAGTAATCAAGGTTAAAGCACAAAAGATCACCATATTTCTCTTTACAAGCAAAGGACTTGATATTTTAAGAGTGTCTTTGGACAGTATGATTTGATTATTTTGTTGCCCAAGCTACTGCTCTCTGATTCACATTGCCTTGTCCTTGTCATTTGACACTCTTTGAATTCTAGAATTATAATACCTGTAGTTCACCATTAGCTTCATGGGTATCCAATATAAAACTGTTTTCAATTACTGTGATGGTTTTTGTTTCAGACTCTGTTCCTAGCCACTTAAATATACACGGGAGGTTTTCCCAGAATCTTTTGTTAACTTAATTTGAAGATTTTTCACTTTTACTATATATTCAAAATGGGTTGCAAACATTAATATCAAGTCTGGCTGGAAAGATTCCCCAAAATGTTATACAATCCTCTAAAAATATATATATTGTTTAATATATTTTCCAGCACATTTGTCAGCTGAATTTGCCAATGTCCTTTTTAAAGAGATATAGCTTGTTGAAATGCCTATGCTTCATTGCTTAGAATAGAAAGAGGCCTCCTAATAATCATCTGCAACAGATGTGCATTGTGGTATTTTTCAACTGAAACTGTGTTGCCCAATTGCATTACTGCGTAATATTGTACATGGACTTCCTTTGCATTTTTAGGTTATCTAGCTCAGCCTTCTCCAATATAGCATTTTGTAGATCTGTTCAATAACCAGTTGAAATATTCCCAAGTAATCATATGCAGAACATTTTTATACTCAAAAATGCCATGATTTTAAAATTGCTCCAACAAATATAAATTTCTAGGGAATTAAGCCTATCATAGAGGGTAGAGGGAGGATTTCAGAGGGGAGCTATTACTGCAGACTTCACAAGAATCGTATAATTATGAAATCACACACACTAAAAATGCTGCTTATTATGTCACAAAGCTAAATAGCTCATAGTCAGGATTCGTATTTTTGTCAATAGAGTAGCATTATATTCTAGACTGCAATAAGTATACAAAGTGAATTACTACATTCTTGGTCGTAAAAATAACAGAAATATCTTATAATCCTAAAGCAAGAACAGGTAGGGTCTAACCGTCCAGGGCAGCCTTACAAAAGTTCACCAAGAAGCTGAAGGTATCTGTGGAAGGAACTATGAAGTTGTGGCCAGAATGTGTGTGGGTGGCTGTAAGGGTGGAGCAAGAGGAGGAAGTGTCAAAGAGCAACCACCAGCCTCAGAGATAAGGAATTTCCTGTATTCACTTTCTTTTCACTCTGCATGTACATCTCCTAGAACCACAGACTCTGGTTGAAGCCTTAGAGATGATGAAGTTACTGGCAGCATGAGGTGAGAGAGGAATTCATGGGAAAGGACAGGCAGGAGAGAAAATCTCAGTTTAAGGGAATCATTTCTTGGGAATATGAAGATAGGGAACAAAGCTGCAAAATATGCGGCAAAGAACAAACTGCGTAGTATTCCCCCAGCCTTCTTATATCTGGAGCAAAGAATCGATGAAGGGTCTCTTCTGTTCACTGAATCTGCAATAGCCTCAAACAAGGAGTACCCATTTTATTCAGTGGGCTTTTGATTTTCCCCAAACAAGTTTGTTGGGCTGAGTTGCAATTTTTTCTCTCCTTTTGGCTTTTTAATCATTTTTTCAAGAACAATAACCTAACTGGCATCTTCTGAATAAGGCTCTGATGTGTCTGATTTAAATGGGGCTTGCTGTACCTGGGGTTTGGGCATCGGATGATAGAAAGACGGTGAAGTTCTTAGTAATGATCAATTTTCTTGAATGTTTTCTAGGTGCTTTCCCAGGGACATGGATTCATTGAGCTGCATTCTTCCTGTGCTTCCTGGCCTCTCTTACCTAAGTTCAACGAATCCTTGCTAGCAGAGCCCAGTCCTGGCCTGTTCAGCATGTCTGAGAAATCATAGTTTCTGCATGCTGCAGAAAGCAAACAAGGCTGAGAATGGAAAAGGCTACCCACAGCAATCAGGAAGTTAAGAAACATGTGCGCCTGCAAGATCGGTGAGTCAGTAGTACTCCAAGTTCCATGCATAGACTCTCAGATTCTAGATGCAAGTTAAGTACTCTGCTGGTTCTATTAGACAAAATTAAAGTTCTCCGACACTCTGCATAGTTTTGCTGAATCTGGTTATAATAGCTGGGAATTATAGGAATTGTAATAGAGAGCATAAAGCTGAGACTACTGATTAAATAAATTAAAATGGATGCAGGTAGTCCTCAATTTAAGACCAGTCACTTAGCGACCATTCAAAGTTACAATGGAGCCTGAAAATGGGACTTACAACCCAGTTTTGAAATTCCAACATCCACATTTCCCCATCACAGTCACATGACCACATTTTGGGCACCTGGCAACTAGCCTGCATTATGATATGTTTGATGGAAACCGGCATTTACTTTTGGTTTCCGTCAAAACTGGCCCTATAGTGAACAATGGGTTTGCTTAATGACTATAGTGTTCACTTTACAACCACAGTGCTCACTTAATGACTGCTGAAAAAAAGGTCATGTGTCTGATTTAGTCAAATGGTGACCTGCTTTATGACTATCACAACCTACGACCAATACTTACAAGTCGAGAACTACCTGAACATTTAGGGAAGAAGACTGTTATAGAGTTCATTCACAAAGCACAAAGTTATGCTAACAAACCATATGCTTCACTATGGTTTGTTGAATAGGTCTCAGTTAGCTAGTTTCATACATGCTACTAAGCATGCCAGCTGTAGTGGCTAGTTTACACATGAATGTAAATTAGCATATTAAAACCAGTTTCCGTAAGCAGTTTAATCAAGACCAGGTGGCATTCAACAGTATGTACTTCTATTTGTGGTGAGGTAGAGTTTTGTTTTGCTTTATTTTAATTTATCACTGTGTTGGCATAAAGTGGCTTGACATGGGTTCTTCAGATCTGTGCTCCTAATACCTCTGTAGTCAAAGTCCTGGGGACCTGCTGCGTATTTAAGTATTTCTTCAGTGCTGTGATTGATTTAGCTTCTCTTCTTCCCAGTGAAGTCAATGACAATGACAAGTCCATTAAATATTAGATGAAATATTGTTGATCATTAATAAAGGCAGTAGTTGAAACTTCATTCCTGGCAACCCATCTGATTAGGTGGGGGAGCTAATAATTCTAAAGGAGATAATTCAACAAAAGCACGAATATTTGGGTGTTGACGACACCCAGTTCTAATAAGGAATCTTTGAATGTTAACTAATGTGTTATTAAGTTGAATGAGTGAGTAGAAGCTAAAATTACATCCAGATATGCTAGAAGTGAGAAGCTATTGGTAAGGAGAAAAATCTTTGGCGAACAGAAGTGAAGCCTATTCTGGATAGGACTGTACTCCTCAGACACAGCAGATTCAAGATTTGAGAGTTTTCTTTGACTGCCTAACTATTACTGTATTTGCGGTTCAGAGCATGTTAGCACAACTGTGACTGATGTGCTGCTAAACCAGTTTTGTGTAGTGGTTAAGATGCTGGAGTAAAAACCAGGAGACTATGAGTTTTTCTAGCCCCACTTTAAGAAAGCCAGCTGAGTGACTTTGGGCCTGCCACTCTTTCTTAGCCCAACCCACTTCACAGGCCTATTGGTATGTGGAAAATAGAAGGAGGAAGGAATTATGTATGATCACCTTGAGTTTCTTATAAAACATAATAAAGGACATAGAAAAAAAATCTAATAAATAAATAAAATAAAATTCCTGAGCAGACCTTTTAGCAGATATCCATGCCTTGGCTACTTAACTACACTTTCTACAGAGGCTCCCTGGAAAATTGTCCAGAAATTGCAGCTGGTGTAAAAAATGTACTATTGTATTGTTAACTATGGGAATTATATGATGCCTGTATACTGAAAAATCTGGATATATTTTAAGTTGGTGTTGACAATTAAAATACTAATCACCTTAGGACAGGGGTCTCCAAACTTGGCAGCAAAGCTGGCTGAGGAACTCTGGGAGTTGACATCCACAGGTTTGGAGACCCCTGCCTTAGGATCTGTCATGATGAACAGGACTAGTTATTTCAATCAGCAGCAGAAGTCTTTTCAAAATGCTTCTGCTGCCACAAGGTCTGTCTGATAAGTGGGAGAAGACCTTCTCTTTCGTGGCTCCTATCTGTGCAATGCCCTCCTTATGGTATTGCATTTAACCTCCACTCTTTTAATGTTCATAAAATGTCAAAACTGCATCTTTTTGTTTAAAGTAATTTTTTCCATCCTTTGCTAATGTAAGACCTCCCATGCAGACATTCTAGGTTTGAGTGAGGAAGAAACCCTTGGAGCAGGGGTGAAATCCAACAGGTTCTGGACAACTGGTAGTGGAAATTTTGAGTAGTTCGGAGAACCTGTAGCGGAAATTTTGAGAAGTTTGGAGAACCGGCAAATACCACCTCTGGCTGGTCCCAGAGTGGGGTGGGAATGGAGATTTTGCAGTATCCTTCCCCTGTCACGCCCACCAAGCCACGCCCACAGAACCGGTAGTAAAAAAAATTGGATTTCACCACTGCCTTGGAGGTTTTAATGATTTACTAGACTATGCTTGGTTATTGCAAGTCTCCCTGCTACTGTCCGATTGGTGAACTCTTGAGTCTCTTTGGCCATTTTTGTATAGTTTGTATAGTTGCCAGATGCACCAGATACTTGATTGTCACTGAGCAAGGTTGTTCTGACATACTGTAGAACAGTGGTGGGTTGCCCCTGGTTCGGACCAGTAGTAAAACCGGTGGGAGGCTCTGCCCACTGACCCCGACGTCATCAGGATGCTTCTGTGCGCGTGGCCCTGAACTGGGAGTAAAGGTAAGTAGAACCCATCCCTGCTGTAGGATACTGACTTTCTGGAAGATTGGTTTTAGATCTGCCAGAAGGTTGGTCTTCCCAGTGAGATACAAATCAAAGACCAAATGACTTTGCTTTTAAGGTGAGCCACCAGTTTAAGACATCTCATAACAAGAGAATTCTCACTGGCCTCATCTCTGAGCACCACTGTCCTCCTAATAGCAGGCATTATTGCAGAGAATTTGCACAAATGGCTTTAGGCATTACTGTATAGATGCATCCAATTACTAGCAGGCCTGAAGAATAACTTCTGTCTTCTTGCAGTTTTGCCAGCAAAGAGGGACAGAAGCTTTAAAACATGTTTCCATTTACACACTGGAGGCAAATAAATAAACTTTCAAATCAAAATAGAAATGTTTGCTGCATATTTTGCTCCTGTGAAGAACATTAATTGGAGAGACATGCTTTTCTTTTCTTTTCTTTTCTTTTCTTTTCTTTTCTTTTCTTTTCTTTTCTTTTCTTTTCTTTTCTTTTTACCACAGCTCAAAGAGTATAGGAGAGCGTCATCTTGTTTGCATATTTAATCAATGTTATGAAGTTAAAAAGACTTAAGTGTGTGGATTTGTAGAACTCTCTGACTCACTTATAACGGACAGGATTGAGTGTTCTTTATATATTCAGCCACCCTGGAAGAAGGCTGTTGAGAGAACATGACATAACCCTGGAAATATTGAAGGCCTCCAGGAGTGAAGGCCTCTAACTATGCAAGTCTAACTAACTATGCAGGTTAGCATAGCTTTGGAGCAGGTAGTTTCTAGGCTGCAGAAATCTGCAGATGTTCTAGCTAATTCAACAGCCAATAGATATCCAGTAAAAGTGACAGTTTACATGCAAATATTGGGGAAAAGTTCATGCCCCAAGAAATTTTTAGCAACATACGTTAGAGATATTCTGGCAAAAATCATTTTGCAAAAGCGTGTGCAGTAAAGCAAGACCTAGTCAGTAGAGAAAAAGATATAAACATATTATCTGTGGGGTCATTATATTCAGAATATCAGATACGCTAAATAAATTGAACCGTTTGCTGCATGTTAGTATAATTGTACTTAGGCAACCTATGACCTGTTGGATCATCATTTCAGAGATAATTGCTTACCAAAAACAGAGAAAGGGGAGCAAAAAAGCAGTGGGAGATAGAGTGATTTCCAATTTACTTCTGGCTTTCCTTGTTAGAAGCTGCCAGAGAGCATTGAAAATAACAATCGTATGATTGTGGCTGAGTGTGGCAGAGAAGCAGTGCAGCAACACTAAAATGGCTAAAACACTATCAAATTTCAATCCCATGGTAGTCATGGGTCCTGGCTTTTGGATGGATTCTTAAATTACCTCATTTGAGCTATGTTGATTCAATAGTTTTTACCTTATGATGCACTGTTTGCCCAATTGAAGATTACAAACAATCAAACAGATATGAGAGAGTTAGTACCGTAGTATATAGATGTTCTTCCTCAACAAATAACAAAAACAGTGCCAAGACTGATATCAAAGACACATCTTTTGGTGACCGTGTAGTGGCTGATGCAGCATATATTAAATCAGAACTGTAACCATGTCATCATCTGGCACATCAAAAGCACATGTTTAATCTGTTATATATTGTCCAGGCTTGAAGATGTGGACCGAGCAGTTAATAGCAGTCCACAATATCAGCTCCTCCAGCATAACAGTGGAACAGAACCTATGCTTCTGCATGAAATTCTGAATTATCTTGAAGTTGCTAAAGATCTTTGAGATAAGATGATTCATTTGTGGAGGATTATTATTATTTAAAAGCCACGAAAAACAACCAGTATCCAGAAATATTAGACTTGGAGGATTCGTTCTCTGCTAGAATTATTGCCAGGGTAAACTCTTCATTTGCATGACATGGGATTGACCTTGCCTCTTTTGCAAATCAAGCAAGGAATTTAAACACAAATGGGGCTTTGAGGACATCATTCTAGTCCTACTTATTCCAGTTTGATGGTCCAGAATTAAAAATAATCCAGACAGTGAAAATGACACACACACAAAAAAGCTCTCCTAGATGGTACTGATACACACATTGCATAACTTCACTTGATGAAACAGTAGTGATGGGGGTTCCTTTTGCTGCCCCAAGGTTGTTGCCCTTCCTCCTGAGATTCCAAAGGAATGACATTCTTGCTTAGGATCTTTGCAATATCACTAAAGTAGCAATATGACCAAGGTAGAATTTCTCTCTCATCTCTGAGGATAGATGAATGAGTTAGATTCCAGGTTCTATTGTTCAGAAGAGAGAGTCTTATGTAGTGGAGATTCAACAAGATAAGAGAAATCAAAGGAATCAAAGGCATCTTAAGGTAACTGCATCTCCCAGAATTGGCACAGAAAGACCAGAAGATGTGTTTCAACACACACCTTCTGCAAATAATTTATTTATCTGAAAGTCAGACAACTCATTTCGTTACTGCACAAACACAAAGTGGGCAATAGTGAAGCCATTGCATAATTTTCAATAACCAGGCCAGGATTAAGCCACTACAGTTTGAGTTGCTGAGCACCCTGCATCATGCAAATCAGAAGCTTGATGCAAATATATATATATTTGCAGAAAGACTTGAAATGGCTCTTCTGGCAAAGCACTAAGGCCAGCCAGAGCAGAAGTCCTGTGGTGGCAACTGGAGTTTGCTTTCCAATTGATAGGTGATGTAGGATGGGAAGGGAAAAGATGGCAGGGTTTCTGCCAACTGTTGCTCTGAAACTACCTGTCATTACAGTGTATGCAGGCAGCAATCCTAACCTGCCCCAATGCTGAGTCATGGTAAGGGATATGGGGGCAGTGCTTCTCATACTGGAATACTTTCTTCCTGGTTTAGGAGGAAAATAAATGGGTGTGGTTAATAGAGATAGGGATGAATATTGATTCAGGCCAAATTATTTTGATAACAACAATATTTTTGTGATATTCAGCACAACAACCTCATTTTGTCAACAGAGGCACTCTACTCCTATAGCATAGGCTGCTTTCTCTAGTTTGATGATTTGTAACTTCAGGCTTTTTTGTCTTGCAGAAGGGGCTCCAATGTGTCATTGGTGTTAGACATGAGTTCTCTGAGCAACACTGAACCCATTGTGCAAATCTCCACTCCTAGAGATGTCACAGTGCAGTTTTTGAACACTGCCAGTCATGTTCTAACACAGAAGATGCTCCAGGAATGGAGCTGCAATCTGGAAGAGCTTCAAGAGGAATTTGCGGTGAGATTCTCAAAACTGCCTACCAACTGCCTGATTGGATTCCAGTTTAAGCTCCTCCAGTACCTCAATTCCTGCTCCCCCATGTCATTCCCAGTATTATTTATTTATTTATTTTATTATATTTTTATACCACCCTTCTCCCGAAGGACTCAGGGTGGTGAACAGCCATAATAAAACAATATACAAGACAAATTTAAAAACCATATTAAAATAATTCAATTTTGGCCGAATTTAAAATTCCCATTCTAAAACCCTTATAAAACCATATTAAAAACCCATATTTAAAACCCGATTAAAATTATTGTCCCATCAGACCGGCTTGTTGGAATAACAGGGTCTTCAGTGCACGACGGAAGGCACGGAGGTCGGGGATCCTTTGTATATCCAGGGGCAATTCGTTCCATAGGGCAGGAGCCCCCACAGAGAAGGCTCTTCCCCTGGGAGTCATCAGTCGACATTGTTTGGCCTATGGCACCCTGAGGAGGCCCTCTCTGTGGGAGCATATCAGTTGGTGGATGAGTGACAGGATGAAATAGCCTTTTTCCTAGGCTAGAGATAGCTGGTAGAGAGGTATGAGACCTGTAGATCTCTCTCAGGCAGCTGCAGAAGCGTCCTGCTTTTGTCAAAATAATTAAAGCACCTTGAGAGCATGTGTGCAGTCCTGTTGCACATACAAAATGGGTAGAACTTACAGCATAATGGTGCAATGCTGCTTTTGTCATTCTGACCCGTTTCTCCCTCCCTCCCTCCCTCCCTCCCTCCCTCTCTCTCACACACACACACTCACACACACAAAGCAACTATGCTCTGCTGTGCCCTCGACATGTGGTTTGAACATCAAGTAATGCATGTAGGGCAGATAGTTTCCCAGGGCAGGAATACTGATTATGTTAAAAACCAATTACCACTTAGTACCAAGCTTAAGTAATATAAAGCAAAGTGTCTTTAAGCTGAGGGAATTGTAGGAAAAGGAAATACTGGATTGAACTGCAATGGATATAAAAAAAATCACAGAGGAGAATCAGCTGCTTAAAGTAGACAGTAAAAATTGCTGTCTGGGCTGAGAATCTGAGCAGTTTCTTTTGGTGCCTACCTACTTTTTCCAGTGGAACTCTGGCATGCCATTCAGGTGTCAAGTTTGACTTTGAATATCACTGTCCTGATTTAAACTGAGGCTGAATTAGTATAGGATCTGGTTGGTCGTGGGTCTTAGACCGCAGCATCTGAGCAGAGCTGAAATGTAATTCTGAGTTATAAATTTTTCCCCACCTCCTTTCTGCTGAGCTCTCCTTATTGGGAAGGCGGGATTGGGAAATTGCATACTTGACAAGATAAAAGACACTGATGATATTGTTTCCAACTCTCTGGGTACCATTCAAAAAGGAAATTAATTCAGCAATTCCTCCTTAACAGAAAATCCCCTCAAACTTCATCACTCCAGAAGAACTCAACATTCTTGGCCGGGCAGCGAAGGATAGATATAAATCCATTCTACCAAGTATGTTTACTTTGCAATCATATTTAAACAGGAAGAAACTGGGATTGGGAAAAAAAACAAAGAATGTTGAGTTTTGGCTCGAGATTTATATTGCATAATGTACTGCAGAGTGTGGTTTCTATAACACTGGCAGATCCCTGTTTTCAGTAGGATCGCCTGTCAAGTGTGTTGAGGTTGCATGGCTCAGAGTCTGAAGATGTCATTAATATCAGCAGGGAACATAGCTGATATTAGCCAATGTTTCATGTCAGCCAATGTTTCTATACCAGGTGATAAAATTCCTATTTTAGATTTCAGAAAATAGTTTTCAATTCGCTGAATAAAATGACAAAAAGCATATCTTCAGCAGGATAGGCATTTGGAGATCTCTGAGGGGGGTCAATATATCATACTGGGTGGAAAGTCTGGAATGTTAGTCCAAACAGTTCTGAAGAATGCTTGGTTGGACAAATGGAATGTAGAGTACTGAACTGGAGAAATTTGCCACGCATGAAACATCACTATAGAACATGAAATAGTTACAAAGGGTACTTCTGGATGGAGGACTCCTAGAGCTACCAGTTAACTGAATCATCCATTCCTTGGGTACGAAATATCAAAGAAATGTTGGGGAAACATGGAAAGGTGCTAAGTAATAGAAGACGATATATTCAAGGGCTCCAGTAGAATTCCATGAATGAGACAGAATGATTGTGCAATAAACATTTCATTGGAAATTGGAAGCACAATTTCTCTCTAGTGGGATATCTCAGTGAAAAAAAGGAAAGAAAAGGATGCCTTGAATTCTTCAATAGAATGGTAAAAATTGAAATATAGGTATAATAAAACAATATCTTTCATATTCAGATATTTTTGAGCCTTGTGTACTATTTTTGACCATGTTGTAGCTTCTTTCCTTTCAGTTATAGGGAATAAAAAATTATTTATTGCTCTGAGAAGCACCGAATGCTGAAACTGTTGTAAATTGTAGAACAGCCAATCCACTCTAAAAATTTTGAGCTTCTGCTCCCATTATCTCCAGGCTTGGCTGGGTGGAAATTATGTGAAGTAAAGTCCAAGTTACCAGGATGGTTGGGGAAGACTACTTTTAAAGCTGTGATGTGATAAAATGCAAAAATTCCTACACATACGTAAGAATTTCTTGCTGATGCTATTATTCTTGCACAAGACTGTAAAGGAGAATATAATTTAATGTGAAATAAGATGAATAAAATTCCCAGTTGGGCCACTTTGTTGTGGGATGCACATTCCTCCAGATTTAGGAGAAATAAAATAATATATTTGTTTACTTCTGAGGGGAACTATAGAAACTCAAGGCACAGGGGAAAAGCCAGGCATTTAGCTACTGGACTTTTTATTTTTGTCATCCTTGTTTTAAAATATAATCCCTTTTATACTCCTATTTTGAGATTATAACTGTATATTTATAATGAAAAGTGGGTGAAATAAGAGCCCCAAACCAAACTGATAGGAAACCAGAAAGATTTCAAAACCACTTTTCTGTGGAATAGTTTGGCCCAACTGATAGTAAATGCTATATTAAGCCTTTAGCTATCTCATCTAACTAAAATGTTCCTCTAGATCCCCAGAGCCGTGTCTGTCTCAAGAGAGTTAGCAGCCAAGAAGAGGAGTCTTACATAAATGCAAATTACATCCGGGTGAGCCAGAGAATTATCTAGAGGTGAGAATAACAAAGCTGGTGGCTCCGGTGGCTCTTGTTCATAGTTGTTATTTCTTTCCCATTGTCTAGGGTTATGCTAGCCAGAAGAAGGCCTATATTGCCACACAGGGACCCATGCTAAATACAGTCAATGACTTCTGGACAATGGTGTGGCAAGAAGAAACTCCACTCATAGTTATGCTCACCAAACTCAAAGAAAGGAAAGAGGTATTGTTGTAGAGATGTATATCAATTCTGATTAATGAGAAGGTTCAAAGTTTCCTGTGTTTATCTTGGGTTCTGTGTCCTTTGGAAGAGATTTCTGGAGATCAATGCCGTTGCTATAGTATAACATCTGTACATAGTCATACGTAAGTCAGCAAAATATTCAGAAACCTAATAAAGGATAGCCACCTATAGCCATAGTAAAATTGTGGCATACTGTGGCTATTCTAGAGGAACACATAATGCTATTATATTTTCTGCAAGATTTCAGTTTCAAGATTTGTGACATTCTGGATTATTTTCTTCTCATGGAGTAATGAGGCTATCTTTACGAATTTAAATGAATTGAATGAAATGCTTATGCACTGTCTTTTAACTCAGAGATCCTAAAACTCCAGTTTCAGGCCAAATTTGCCTCACTAAATGTCCCCTTCTGGCCTATGAGCTTATAAAGCAGTCCTTCTGCTACTCTAAAGCTCCACTCTTTGCAAACCCTCACAGATAAGCTGCCATTTCAAAGTCATATTTTGAAGCTGCTTTCCTACTAATCCCCCCCCACCCCAAGTTCCTGGTGCTTTGCTTTCTCTTAGTTTCAACTAATGACTTCTAGAGCAGAACTGCTACAAAGCACTAAGGGCATTTTATAGTGGTTTCTCCTTTGCAGATGGATGATACCTCTGCATGAAGTTTTGAAAGTTGTTGGGTGAGACTTTGGGAAGGAGTTTTGGTATCACCTACTGATGTGCAGGAAGGTTGCTTATTTATAAACCTATTGCTTATTGTTTAACATATTGCTAAAAAAGGGCCCTGCATGTGCTCTTGTTTAGAAATAAAAAAACCACAAAGGAGTTTATCATCTGGCAAAGGTGCAGAGATTGTCGCCTTATTATATCTGGAAGCTTTGTTAGCCAGCACAAATCTCTGCAGACCTAATGAATACAAATGTGGTGGCAAGGGAGTATTAATAGCTACATCTCAAGGGTATTTTTTAAGTCTAAGATTTTCCTAAGCCTTTTCTTTCCATAAGGAAGCTTTAGAAAATGCATTAAAAACTCACATGTGGGGTTTTTGAGCCTCAGCGAGCTTGGTACTGTTTGCTTTGTAGAACCACTCCTGCAGCCCATTTGCTATGGGGGAATAGGTCTGTGAATGTTAGGTCTAATTTCCACTTTTCTTGGGGATTTAGAGTCAGCCACTTGGTTGACATCTTTATGGATGAGGATCCCTACCTTTATAATTTCAGAAATGTATCTGTTACTGGCCTGAAAGAGAAGCATCCTATGGACCATTTAGAATTCAAGTCCAAGACATTTGGGAATGTGATGACTACACCATTCGTAGCTTTTCCCTGCAGGTATAATTTTTTTTATTGAGCTCTGGCAAGATGATTTCCCTGCACAGTTCACCCTTCCCTCCAAGGGTGAATTGTGCAAGTACTGTCAAAACCTGCCCCTTAAGTTAAACTGCTATACATTTTGTTTTTCTTAATGAACCATTTATTTTGAATTATTTTTCATGATTCTTGCTTTGGGCTTTGTTACTTTTATTATATTTTTTATTATATATTGATTATATGTATGTGTATGTGTATGTGTATGTATGTATGTATGTGTATATAAGGTAAAGGTAAAGGTTCCCCTCGCACATATGTGCTAGTCATTCCCAACTCTAGGGCCAGTGCTCATCTCTGTTTCAAAGCTGAAGAGCCAGTGCTGTCCGAAGATGTCTCAGTCGTCATGTGGCCGGCATGACTAAATGCCAAAGGCGCACGGAACGCTGTTATCTTCCCACCAAAGGTGGTCCCTATTTTTCTACTTGCATTTTTTATGTGCTTTCGAACTGCTAGGTTGGCAGAAGCTGGGACAAGTAACGGGAGCTCACCCCGTTATGCGGAACTCAGGATTCGAACCGCTGAACTGCTGAACTTTTGATCGATAAGCTCAGCGTCTTAGCCACTGAGCCACCACATCTCTTTATGTGTGTGGCTAAAGAGAAATACACATAAAGCCTACGAAAAGGAAAGAAAACATATATATATATATGTATGTATGTATGTATGTATATATATGTGTATGTATATGTATATGTATATGTACATATATACATGTATGTATATATGGTACCAAAATGATAGTACCATTTTGGCTGTATAAAAAATTCATTTCTGATACTTATTAGTGTATATGAATGGACTGGGCACAAAACTTTATCTGGATTATTTCTATTTTATTTTCTACATGTAGACAAAATATTCCCTTTCATTTAATATCCCATTTAATTTTTATTCTATCTATAATTATTAATGACCATTTCATTGAGCATTTCATTGTCTCACTTAGTTGTCATAAGGCTATTGTGAGGAAGGGAGGTGTTTTCTCCTCAGGACTTTTGTCTCCTTAAAGATATTTGTATAGCTGTAAGTTTTGGAATTCCAATAAGCACCTTGATACTTTCTCTCTTGGATAGATGCAACCACATATATGTGAATACTTGAAAGAGTAAAAGTAATGCTATCTTGTATTTCATCATGATTTTTAGTTCAAAGACGAATGTCGCACTGTGAAACACATTGTTTTCTCATCCTGGCCAGACCAGAGGACACCAGAATCAGCCAAGATGCTCTTGCATTTGATTCTTGAGGTGGAGAAAATTCTGAAGGCTGCCCAAAACAAGGGACCAATTGTTGTGCACTGTAGGTGAGAAATTCTTCTTGTAGCTCCATTGTATTGATGGATGCCCAAGGATGCTGGTTTTGCACTTCTATTTGAAATCTCCATTCTGAAAGGATGCAGCTACAGATCTAGCAAATACTTCTCTCTGTAAAATTCTGTACTTATAGACACTGGTGAAACAGGCAAACTGTTTTTCCCAGAAACCTCTAGGTTTCAGTGTATAAGAGATGGAATTAGGCAAACCTACTTGATTGGAAGGGGATGGACAGATATATTTCTACCCCTTTCTGCTTCATAGCACCAAAGATGCAATCTGACATGAAGTTGTTGCTTTATTTAGTGCAGGCATTGGACGGACAGGCTGTTTTATTGCTACTCAGATTGGATGCCAGCAACTAAAGGACAAAGGAGAAGTAGATATTTTGGGAATTGTCTGCCAGCTACGCATAGACAGGTATGGATGAAGAGCGGTTATATAGGCCAAATTCTGAGACTATTTAATGAAAAACTGAAAGAGTCTCTAGTTAGCTTGTCTTTTTGTTTTGTATATATATTATCCACTTAACAATATTCTCTAATCAAGTTAAATGTATTGAAACTTCTACATCTTCTATAGTATATTGAAGCTGCCTGGAAGCATCTTGATAAATGTACTTTCCTAAATGCTGAACGTAATGATATGAACTGATATGAACGTAATTAAATTAGTTGGTTAAGTATTCAAGCAAAATCACAGCAGTCATTAATACTTTGGTAACAAGTCAGTTTATGGTGAGACATGTATCCCAGGCATGTTCATAGGAAACATAATTGTCTTATTCTGCAAAGGCACCAACCAAATTATACCCAGTAATAACCTCATTTCTGTATTGTTATATTACATTTAATCTCCAGTTCTATATAGACTTGTGATAAATCAAGTAACCTACCAAGCCTCATTAAAATTATTTAAATGTAACACTTGTGGTAAAATGTTATAACTGTAAATGTGATACAAGCATGTATGACAATGTGACATACATTATTGGTGCTACTTGTACTGTGCTTCATCAGGACATCATGGACCAAAATGTACTGTATAGTGCCAAGAAATGTATACAAATATTTATATATCAAATATATTAAAGAATGCATTCTTTATTAATGAAGGCGAATATACATGTCTCGGGATAATGTTGTAGGATCCAATCTGGGTTGGTCACCAGGACCAGAGGATTTGTCTTCCGAGCTTTTGAACTCGTGCTAGAGCTCATCTTTAAGGAACTTCTAGAAGTTCCCTGAAGATGGGTTCTAGCACGAATCCGAAAGCTCAGAAGACAAATCCTTTGGTCCCGGTGACCAACCCAGATTGGATCCTGCAGTGCACTCTTTAGTTCTATATTGGGATATGTCCAGAGGCGGGTTCTACTTACCTTTACTACCAGTTTGCAGCAGGGCCACGTGCTCACGCTTGCTTCCCTCGCGCGTGCGCAGAAGCATTTTGATGATATCGGGGTTGGTGGGCGGAGCCTCCCACCGGTTTTACTACCGGTTCTATAGAACTGGTGCGAACCGGGGGCAACCCACCACCGGACATGTCTAAAGGTTAAGAGCACAGCCAGAGATCCAAGTGTTTGTGTTATTTATCAACTTCAGTATCTAAATAAGTGTAGTCTATGGTATAAATCAGGGGTGAGATCCAGAAAGTTCTGGAGAACTGGTAGCGGAAATTTTGAGTAGTTCGGGGAACCGGCAAATACCACCTCTGGCTGGCCCCAGAGTGGGATGGGAATGGGGATTTTGCAGTATCCTTCCCCTGCCATGCCCACCAAGCCACACCACACCACACCACACCACATCCACCAAGCCACACCCACAGAACCGGTAGTAAAAAAATTTGGATTTCACCACTGGTATGAATAAAGTACATGCAAAAAACAATACAACATCTATCCACAGTATTACTAATAGCCTGGAGCAATATGACTTTACAAGCAATACAGGGAATATTGTCTATCAGGTAAAATTTTTAAAAATAGTTCCTGATGTATATAATATAATATAAATATAATATAAATGGATCATGTCAACTCTTCAGTTTGCTCTTCCAGGGAGCTACCTGTATATCTAAGTGCCACTCATAGCTATATTAATAAGCTTTGAGTGAAATATGATTTTGACCTGATAAATATTTTCAGCAATTAATTGAATGACTCTTCCCAGTATTTAATAATGCCATTTTAATTTGATTTAAGACTTTTAAAGGTCATAGTTTCAGTCCTCATTATTTAATCTGTACTGTAGATGTTTTATTTTGCAAGATTTTTTGCAATTTCTTGAACATGCATTTGTGATTGAATTGTTTTGCAAAGTATATGTAATTCTCAACCTGCTTTGTAAGCTGTTCTGCTATGGTCTGCAAAAATTGTAAATGATCTAAGATTGCCACTGTTTGCAAAACAAATGTATTGTCCTTCCCAGTGCCTGTATATTTAAATAGATTTTCTTTGCTTGCAGAGGTGGAATGATACAAACCAGTGAACAATACCAGTTTGTCCATCATATACTTGCTATGTATGCCTCACAGCTTTCCGAGTTTACAGACAACTAATCCATCATGCTGTGGTAGCAAGAGGAACTGTTTATATCTTGACACTTTGCTTGGAGAGCCTTTTTGTGATAGCAAGATAGTAAAGTATTTATATGTCAGCCACTTGAAATACATAGCTCAAACAAGAACTATTAGGTTGTTGGTTTTATATAAAAGGAATTTAGCTGGATGTAGAGTTTTAATTTCATTTTTTAATGTTTTGAACTTCCTGTGTATGTTTTGTAAACATAATATTCATTTCAAGTTCATTAAAAATACTGTTGTGTTACACACACACACACACACACACACACAAAGAGAGAGAGAGAGAGAGAGGGAGAGAGAGAGAGAGAGAGAGAGAGAGGGAGGGAGGGAGGGAGAGAGAGGGGGGGAGCTGTACACCTCAATCCTGGACTGGCCAAGTTATGTTGTTAAGGTCTTTTCCCAGGGTCTGGAGGCTGTGGAAATTCTGGATGGGAAGCAAAAGGCTCAAGCTTGATTCTGACAATGATGAATGGTTATGGTTTTGGATCGCTTGAGACCAGTGGCATCCATCTTGAGTCATGAATAAGCTTGCAGTTTTCCCTTCAGAACTGATACACAATATGGAGGTATTCTTAAACTCACATCTCCTACTTAAGGAGCAGGTAGCAGCTATGGCTAAGAAGGCCTTTGCACAAATCTATCTTGTGTGCCAATTATAATCCCACCTGAACCAGATAGTTGTTCAGTTAGTCACTCTGTCATCTCACATATGACTCTTATAATGCAGTCTATATAGGGCTGCCCTGAAAAACACTCAGAAATTGCAGCTGGTCCAGAATGCACCACTATGGGCAATTATAGATGTGTCACATGATGGTTGTGACATCATATCACAATTCAGTGTGTTGGTTATCCTTGTATATTCCAGTCAATTAAGAAGTGTCATGTAATGAAATTAAGAAATATGGCTTCTTGGTCACAGCACCTACTCTCTGGAACAACATTTCCCCTGAGACTTGTTTGGCTCTTACCCCATCTGAGTTGAAAGAAACCCTTAAAATCTGACTGTTTCCCCAGGCCTTGGGTTAGACTGGGTTGCAGGACCTGTGGATTTTATTAATTTAAAATGAACAATTTTCCTCTCTTCAGATGCTTGTGATTTTATTTTTATTTTTTATAATTATTTCATTAATACATGATGTCCAGAGTTGCTATGGAGTTAAGAAGCCCTATAAATTGAATTAATTGGTTTGTATTCAGTCATGAAATACAGCCTGATTTAAACAAGGTACTTTAAATGAGAGTCTTCTATGCAGAGGCAATCACATTAAAATATATGGTTAATTTACAAAATATTCAATCAGTCTGTAAGCATTAACACACAATAGGTTAGCTGAATGTATTATTGGCTTGCTAGTGTTATGTTCAAATGGATGAGTATATAAAATAAGCATATTTTATACACTTAAATAAAATTGGAAAACATATTGTAATATATTTCTTTCCACCCCCAGTTTTGTATAAATTAGATGCTCTGTAACTAACCAATTAGGACTAAAATACATAGGAAGTTGCCTTAAAATAAGCAAAAGCGCTAATCCACTTTGGTCAGCATTGGTGATATTATCTGAAATGTGGATACCAACTTTCCCAGCCATATTTTCAGGTCTCTCGTAAAATCCACAATAACATATTACAGGTCATATTGTCATGTAAATGTCACAGATTACATTACTGTATGTAGTTTGTTTCATTTGCATAGCAATATCATGTGAGAATAATGCCACTTGCACTCATTGTGAAACCTAGACATATCTGGAGGGCTTATGCATACAGAATAAATGTTCTACCTCTGAATTGTGTTTTTTAATTATATTTTCTCTCACTGTAGAAAAAAGTAAACCATGTTTGTTAAAAGAATAAAGTTGTGCTGTATTCTTTCTAATCTTTTCTCACTAAGGCTAGTGACCTCAATATAATAAATAATTTGCATGCATGACTCTTTAACATTCCAGTTTAAAGCATAAAAATGTAGTCACTGACTTCTCTTTATTTCTACTATAAGCTTTATCTGAAGAAAATACTAAGGAAATCATCCTCTAACCTCATCAAACTGGAGAGTAATCAAAAAAGAAACCTTAGTTAATTGTGATAGAAATACGTTCTTACCACATTTGCATGTGTTTTCCTGAAGCTTATCCTAAAATGAAGCTGTGTGTTTTTGACAGTAAGAATTCATATGCCTTTGGAAATGTATTTTTAATCTTATTTTTGAATTTAGGAGCAGTTACCCAAACAGTGGTTATTTCATGCTAATTGTGCATAAAAGCAGGGCATTTCTATATACCCTACATCTTAGAGTATTAGAAGATATTATTTATATATCATAAAGTTGCTAAGGTTTATACATAAATGCTTTGTTAAAGTATTCAGTGAAGCTGAAACAAGAAGAGAAAGGGGAAGGAGATAGAAGATCAAGAGGAAGATACTGGAACAAGCATTTCAAGAAGCCAAAATTACCTCATTCAGATTAAATTATGCCACAGCAATAAATTCATTTTAATGGTGTGAACATGTACAAATTTGAAACACATGTTTCTCCTGTGCAGAGTGGAAAAATTACATTAGCAATCTCAAAGCCATCGCTCTGAGGACTAGAAGGTACATCATACTTTCTAATGTTATTTGTCATTTATTTAATCCTTCTACTATATTACAGATGAGAAGGGGATAGATCCCAAGAGTCTTCCATTTAAAAATGGGTTGAGGGGAAGTAACAAGTGAAAAGAATGATGAAAGAATAAGTGGGTAAACAGGAAAAAACATTCATAGGTTTCTTTGAAATATATTATGAATATTGCTTGATTTTAGCACGGTATGAACATAGCCATGGCTTATAAGCATTATGTGTCTGAATCCATACATTGTGACCTTTTCATATGCTATAACTAAAAGAACCATGACTTAGAGTGAACTGTGAATGCAATCTATGCCTGGCCTGCCTTTGCTGTTGTTGCAGGCTGCTTACTATCTATGAATAGTCCACATTGTTGTGGAAAAAAGAAATCTACTGAAAAATGAGCCAAAGCAATTGAGAACTGAAACCAATTTTCTTTACTATAATAGGGTATTATAGTAATAATCACTGAGCTGCTGGCCAAACAGACCAAGAGCCCCAACAATAGATTATATAGCAGTATTATACTAGTTAAAAAGGTGCATCAACAGTCATGAATAATTAATGACATTACATAGACAAGAAAGGCCCCCAAGTCTGTATCAGCAATAAGTAGTCAATCAGCTTCAGTCTTGTAGCTGGCGCCTTGATCTTGTCATCAATCCTGATCTACATTCCTTTTTATTTTATGGTTTCTTACTCGGGATCACTTTAAACTGAATTACAGTATCAAAGGGCATCATAAATCCCAACCATTTTGATTCTGTGTCATCTCCTATCGACCCAGGACACATGATTTAAAAATAAAAATCAAAGTTCTAATTAATAAAATTTACTTTTAAAAAAATATTAACTTTCAACTCCACAGTTTATTGTCAATACAAACCCAGTGTGGTGCTCTTTTTGATACTGGAGAGCAGACAAATGTCCTCGGTTTTGCATGCTGAGACAAGGGTAACAAGAGAAACTCTGAAATGAAGTGAAGTTTGTCATTTTAAAAGGAGAGCAGTGCAGCTCTTTCTGACCCTACAGATTAGTGGATTTTCCAGATCAACTAGCCTGAATCCCCTTAGAAGTATTTCAAAGGATAATGGACAAGGTCTCCTGGTATCAATAGCATGTAGGACTGTTTGTGTGTATATATACAAGTAGTCCTCAATCTACGACTGTAATGGACTTTAATGCCCCCACCTGCTCTCCCTGAAGTCACCATTAAATGAATGTGCAGGTCATTAAGCAAGCATGGGGTAGCTCAAGGGTGGAGGAGGCCCCAGGAATCCCACGACCCAGCAGGATCCATAAAGGAGGCAGACAAGCAGCAAAAAGCCAAAAAGAGCAGCAGGAAACAAGAGCCTAGATTAGGGCCCAACACCATGTTCCATGGCCAGAGGAGCTTCCAAACAAATTTTGGTGGGAGCTGGGCCTCTGCTCTAATCAGCTGGCTATTGAGAGATTGTAAACCTCACTTGACTCTTGCTAGGCTTTGGGGCATCCAGCCAACTGCACGCAAAGGATGAGCTTCCCACAACCTTTACCATGCTTAAATCTTGGTTGTTTGTAATATTTTCTCTGAAGTTCTATCCAATTATAAGGAAATCACTCCATTCCAATTCCTAAAGGGACTAAAGATCAAGACTATTAGAAGTAAAAGTAAAGATTTTAAAGTTGGTTTTTTTGATCAAGGTTAAAATAGATTTGTTGTTATCCCTGATAACAACTTTAATGCACTTTTGCTGATATCAGTACTGAAATGATGAAGCCTTAAAATTTTGTTTACAGATGGGATATGGAAGAAGAAATTACATACTGTATTTTAAACTAACATTGTTTATGAAGGGGCAAGTATTTATTTATTTTCTCCCTTTTATTAGTCTTTTTTTCTTCCCAGAAGGATACAAACTCAACTATGAGAAAGCCAGGCGGATGGGGAAATCTCATAGCTCTTTTCCCCACTCTTCCACCCTAGGGTTGGGATCATTAGCAAGCATTTGTATTTATTGCAGAGGAAGCAAAGAGAATAAGCAGGCACACAATCAGAAATATAAATCAAAAGTAATGCGCCAGTGCTGTTTTTTTATATAGCATTTCACAGCTGTAAGTGCAAGCTGCTTAGGAGGCAAACAAAACCTTTATGAAACTGATCAGGGTCTTGTCAATTTCAGGCACCAGCTGAAAGCCTACTAAGCCTTCTATTCTAATTAACAATTGAAGCCACAGAGCTGTGCTTGTTAACCTGTGGTTAATACTTTTTAGGAATACTGTACACTGCTAGGGAGAAATGAGATCACTTGTTTAGCCAATCTCTCTATTCAAGGTTGGAGGCAAAAAAAAACACAGATCAGGCACTGGATAATGCATACTGTATTAACTGACTGTATTGGCAAATACCAGACTGAGAAAGAAAGATGCTGCAAAGATCTTAAATGCAGACATTCACCATCATCATTGTAAATGGGAATAGTAATAGTTGCTATCTGAGGCAGATGAGGATTATCTGTATTTCTTTCAAGCAAGAAAAGGATTAGGAGCTGAGTTCTGGAAATGGAATAGTTTCCTTAGATATGACAGGATTATGCAAATAGAGAAGGTGGACCTGATTTCTGTCATGTCCACAGAAGACGTTACTTTGTTCTGTAAATCTAACCAGCATTATTACTGCATAAATATTGTG